AACCAACTTAATCAACCCTCACCCAACCGTAAACCAACCTTGGATTAAACCAACCCCAAAGCACATATCTTAAACGACCACCAAACACACTCTAAACCACCCCGGAACCCACCTAAACCACCCCTGCACCAAGGATAAAAAAAGAACACATCCTAAACTAACACTAAATACACTCTAAACCAACTATAAACCAACCTTAAGCCAACCCTAAACACGTATTTGAAACCAACACTAAACACAGTCTAAAACCAACCCTAAACCACCCTAAACCACTACAATTAGATCAGCCCTAAACCAAGTCTAAATCACTACAACCCCACCACCGGGGGGGGGGGAGGGGTGGTCTTAGACCAAGCATAAACCAACCCTAAGCCACACCCCAACCACACCACTGGGTGGGGGGAACCATGGGGGGAAGGGGGGGGGACTTGCGACTTGCGAACCCTTGACCATGCAGGTGCTGTTTTGTGGCAGGTCTTGAGCACATCTGCCGGGCTTGTTTTTGTTGCTCGGTTTCTTTGGCTTTTGAAAATTGGGCAAGGCATTGTTCGGGCCTCCTGGGTGCTGGGTGGGGAATCTCGAATTTCGGGCGCGATCGTTTGCATTGGGCTTGGGTTGGATGTCAACTGTTTGCTGGTATGCCCACAGCTTCATTGCACAGAGCAGCGATGTTTGGCCTTTGGTTGTTCTGAATAATTCGATGCTTATTCTTGTTTCGTTGTGCCTTGTGTGCTGCAAGCCAATGGTACCCAACGTGCCTGCCAATGCCAATGCTGGCTGGTTGGTTGCCAGAGTGGTCCAAAGGCGGCATCTTGATAGCAAGAGCCAGACCAGTCAGCCGGGAGGTCGAGACTTTGTGCATCTGCACTTGCTGGGCTCCAAGGCAGCGCGGCAGGTCGAGCTTTGATACAGGCTTTAGAAGGAATTATTCAACATGGGCCCAGGGTTCCACTGACAAAGACGCACAGCCTGTGAGCCCTGCAGCAGAGCCACAGCCTGTGAAGGTGGCCGCATCCGTCCGATCCGTTGCTTGAAATGCACTTGAGGCTCTATGAGGCTCTTGGATAGGCTCCGGACAGCGTTGGATGGTGGTTCTGACCCCGTCGAAATTTACGAGGGACCTGAAACACATGTTTCTTCTAGCGACAACATATGTCTTTGGCTCATGTGCAGAACAAGGCCAGCCAGAATGGAATTCAGCTCTTTTTGTGTAAGTGCGGCAGATTAGGTGCAAGCATTTGACCAAACCATTTCTATTGAAACTGGAAGAATCAGAACGTGGGGGCGAGAGGGTCGTGGGGATGAATGAAGCACTTGTTGAACGCAATGCAGCTCCGATCTTCACTATGGTACAGTACCAGCATGAGGACTGAGCCCAGTATCATGCCCAGAAGCAGTAGCTTCATATCCAACAGAACATTCACAAAGTGCCACTCATTGACGCCATGCCTGAACGTGGGATACATGAAAGATCTCACAGGTCTTCCTTGCGTATGCCCCTGCGGCATCCTTGGGTCTAACGTGATTTCGGCATTTGTTCGAGTATGCGGGAGACGCGGAGCTTGCTGCTTACATCAGGTCACAGTGTCGCATACAGAGGTATGCAGGCCAAATCCAGCCTTGCCATGACATGAAGAGGCTTCTCAAGTTTCGAGGTGTCCCTTTCTTTGCAACACAACCGGGCGTCGGTAATTCCCCACCATGTTTCGCCCAGTCCCACGCCTTTGCAGGGGGTCTAAGGGTTGCTCCCTGCAAAAGTAGCCGCAGGTTGTTTGCGCATTGTTTTTTTTCTTCGGGAGGATCTAGAAAAACAGACCGAAAAGCAGTCTGAAGTAAACGTGCCGCAAGAACATATTTTGGCCAACGCAGAGTTTGGCACAGCCCCAAGTGTCAGGCGCAACCAGATCTCTGGCCGGCGTCAGGTCCCGGAGCTGGAAGATATTGCGAAAATTTACCCGCAGCCACCCGGGGCCCGCACCCCAGGGTCGGCTTCCGGCTTGACCTTCGCGGGCGGGTTTGGGACAGAACTCGATGCCACCCAACTCGATGCCGCGGCAAGATCAGGTGGACTCGCGTGGGGATGGTTTGAAGATCACCATCATAAACACAGTTTTTCAGGGGCCCCCAGTAAGGCCAAATGAATGTTGCAGCTGTATAACCAATTCAAGAGGCCCGTTCCCCATGGAGGGCCACCCTGTTGTCACTTGGGAATATTGGACAACTTGCCCTTTGATGTGGACCATGCCTGTTGAGACAGATAGCCTTTGTTGCACTAGCGTCCATGTGTCGTGTTTTGCAAGGGATCTTCCTTGAGCTTCTGTTGCGTGGCTGTTTGGCTACCACTGAAGGGAGGATCCATCAGCGAATAGCCACCAAGCAGGATCCGAGATCCCCAATGAGAGATACTGATAGCAGATCATAAAAATGATCTTTGGAACACAACGGTGCAAGCGGTACACAACTTTGCATTGCACTGCTTAAATCATAGTAGCGGAAAGAAACAGGAGGATGTTTCTGGCCTAGCCATTGCCGCTGATGGTCAAATGAAGATCAGCCCGGAGTATGATCAGGTGCTGCCTGAGCATGTGCGGGCTCGACAGGGCAAAGAGCGATGGGACAAATGCAACGTACGGTCTTCTCATCAAGAGCCGGTGTTGCTTTGGTTTGGCGTGTCATGGTCGACTTGCTTTCTGGCTTTGATGAGTGCAATCAGCCAGCTGAGAGATGACAACCGAGAAACTGCCTTGCCAGCGATCGCTATCAGTGCATCGTGTTTGCTTTGCTCCGCTCTGTCGCTCCTCTTGTCCTTGCGCTTGACTGGTGTCCTTCTGGAGGCGTGCTTTGTGCTGCAGGTTGTGGTGATCAACGCAACGCTGATGGTGCTGTCGCTCACTCACTCGGACCCAGTGGATCGATCCATGAACCTAACGTGGCACTCGGTGGGCTTCAAGCTGCTGCCGCTGAGCTGGCGCTTCTGCTGGATGATCCAGCTGGCCTCCTCCTGCGCGATCGATGTCTGCGTTCATGCGGCGCTGGTGTGGCACTTCGGGGGAAGCATCGATTGGCGCTCCATGGTGTTCCTTGCGGCCATCACCTGCTACGTGGCGACCCTGTGCGTTGTGAAGTCCAGGCGCCAGGCTAGACAAGAGTTGATTGAGGACGGCATGCAGGACTTGCTTGCCAAGATTCTCACAGAGGCGTTTGACTCCTGGGTTTTCCTGGACGGAAACCTCCGGTTGCAGAGGTCCATTGGAGATTTCAAGCAGGGCCGTGCTGCCAAGCGAGCCAACGATCTGGTGCTGCAAATGACGAGCAAGGATGGTTCCACCAAGTCTGGCATCCTTCGGGAGGCCTTTCAAGCCAGCCGAAACGCTGCCTTTGGCACCGCCCGGGCGCGAGACAAAGGTGGGTGTGGCTCAACAATAGGGGTCCAAAATAGAAGCCTGGTAAAAAGGAAAGGTAGACTAAAACCTGCGTAACCCCAGCTGTTTCATTTTGACCCACCGCCAGGTGACGGAGAGCCCGAGGAGGAGATTTTGGTGGTGCGGAGCCTGGCCGGCGAGAAGCGGCACGGAAGGCGCTCCGACTCGACGCCGCTGCCGCACTACATCGTCGCGACCTGCGCCTGCGCCAGGCCAGTGCCAGAATCGGTGCCGGAACAGATGCGAAATGGCGCCCAAAGCCGACGCGCGAGAAGCCTGGGGAGTGATGGCAGATCTGATGAGGCCAGTGTGGTTTCAGACGTCGCCAGACGAGCCGGGGCTCATCTCGGCATGGATAACCGCAGCAGCAGTATTTTCGACGTGGAGAAGCCAACGGACATGGGTGAGCAATGCTTCGAGGAGCTTGTGGACCTGGGTCGACGAGAGCACTGGATCGTGGAGCCTTACCACCTCTGTGTGATGGAGAGCAATCCCCTGGGCAGTGGTACCTTTGGCACAGTTCTGAGGGGCACCTTCTATGGAGCGCCAGTGGCAATCAAGATGCCAAAGTCAGACAAGAAACAGCATCTTCCGCTGCTGAACGAGTTGCGGACTTTGCGCCGTCTGCGCCATCCCAACATCGTCCTGTTCCTGGGGGCTCATGTGATGCCTTACACCGACGATATGGCTCTGGTGTTCGAACTGATTGAGGGCAGCACTCTTCATGATTGGATAAAGGCGCAGCCCCATCCCATTGTGTGCGATGAAGGCAAGTTGAGCATCTTGCACGACGTCACACTAGCTCTCAGATATTTGCACCAGCAGGACAAGACCCTTGTGCACGGTGATTTAAAGGGCTCCAACGTGTTCGTGGTAAAGGGCGCCTGTCAGCCCCGAGCAAAGTTGGGTGACTTCGGTCTAGCCAGATTCCTCTACAAGACGGAGCATATGATGGGCGGCAGCTTGAGATGGATGGCCCCTGAGATTGCCACAGGAACCAACCGCGCTCCGTCTTGTGCCACCGACATCTTCTCTTTGGGCGCGCTGATCAGCTTCACGCTGACAGATCAACGGCCCTTTGATGGCATCGAGCGCGAGCAAATCCTGAAGACCATGAAGCGGGGGCGGCTTCCGAGGCTCGCCTGGCCCCCGGCCACTTCGGAGCTCGTGAAGCAACTCAGGGCGGTGGGTGACTGGTGCTATAGCCAAGACTGTGAGCAAAGGCCTGATGTCATGCAAGTCCTGGAGGTGCTGACAAGGTGCGAGCGCTTCTTGGAGATCCAGCTGGGCCGGTCCAGCGTCGAATTGAGCTGAGCCTTGGGTTTCACCTCACTCCAAACAGACTGAAGCTGAGCTCCAGGTTTGGGCCGAATTCTTTGCCCCATGCAGCCAGAAGTTGAGCTCTGCGCGCCATGCTCAAATGGGGTACTCAAAGAGCTACTCCAGGCGTGCGGGCCCAATAAAACAAGATAGTAGCGGAAGGAAAAAGGCCCAGGCTTGTGACAGGATGCAAGACAAACATAATTGATCAGTATAGAACATGAAGTTGACTTTTCTTTCCTTGGTTTTCAGACCGCTCCTGTCAGGAAACCCAGGATGCCTGGATGAGAGACCTCATGCCCGGAAGCCCGGAGTGTTTCGAGCCGATTGCCCAGCTCGAAGCAATGGATCCATCCAGTTTCGATCGAGGTGCTTAAGCCTTTGAATGACAGCGCCAGACTCTCTAGTCATGGACATCCATGTCTGAAATGTGTGACTTGGACACAGGCTCGCGTGCGCCATTGTCACAGGGTTGTGGCGTTCTCCCAGCGCAAGGGCCATGGCCCCTGATGGGAGGTGTGCCATGTCCGAAGTTTGCAAACGGGCCCAGGGAAGGTGGGCGGCGTGAAGATCCCGTGTTGAGGGCAGAATATGACCGCAAGCAACTTGGCGGGGCTGGGTGGAGCTCGCAACTCAAAAGGTTTTTGACGTTTTGGGGGTGGGGGGGTGGGGGGGGGGGGGGCCAATAGTTGCCACACACAGAACAAGACTGACCGAATTGCAAGCCCAGGGTGCTGAACCTTCGCGTGGCTCACTTTCACAGAGTCCGAGTGGCTTGTTGAGCAGCGCTTTTGCGCACGCAGTCGAATGACGGATTTCGAACGCAGCATGCAAAAAAGTAAACGTTTGTTGAGAAGCGGCCAAAAACCCTTGCAAGAGCGTTTAGTCTAACGAGGCTACCGTCATATGATGTGTGTGTGTGTGTGTGTTTTGGCATCGCAATTCAGTTGTATCAGGCGGAGTCCAAGGGAAACAAGTGACGCGTCCACAATCGTCCACGGCCGCATTGCGGGACTTAACATTTGGACAAGAGCTTGTATACACACTGATATCATTATATATATATATATATGCATTTATATCATGCATATCAACATCGCACACACATTCGACTGGAATGAGCTCGGGCAGAAGTGACAGCACTGCATGTAGGAGCTGCCAATGCTCGCACCTAAATCTGGCAATCAATGCCAATTGCACGGAAACAACTTTTCACGAATTTGCAAAACTTGCGACGTGGAAGCCCAGGAAAGCTTTTGTCGAAAACTGCTTCGCGGAAAGGGCCGAACTTCACACTGAAGCTTGGCAGGTTTCGCTGAGGGATCCCTCGGTTGAATGCAAGGCATCAACTCCGTGTTGATGCAACTCATTGGTCACAAGCAACAGACACCTGGCTTCGAATATTTTGGTCACTCCGATCCCAGGCAGAAAGTCCTGATTGCCGGTTACATCGTGCTGACCATTCTGCCGCTTCTGGTTGCCGTGACCTCAATGCGTTGCACGCAGCCCTTGATCAGATACAGTTGTTCTTGTTTTTGTTGTTGGTATCGTGTGCTCGGGCCTTTACGCAGACTTGGTCAGGAAAATTGCCTGGGCTCCAAAATATCTCACAGCTGCATTGTGTTCTGGTGGTTGACTTCGTCCTTTTCGCAAAGCAGCCCATGTCTGCTGGGCCCTATGTCCTTTGACGCGTCACTTCCAATGACCTAGGGTTGGCTAGATCAAGTGCCGTGGCTGACTTGACAGTTTTGGATTTCATGGATTTCCCACTTCAAATGTGAGCATGTGTCAAAATAGGGCTAAGTGCGGTTTTCCTTCGAGGTTTCCTTTGGAACTGAGGTGAAAATTGTATTGTCAGAAAAACACACCCGTTTTAACTGTTTGAATGCGGCTGACAAGGTCAGCATTGAGAAGCCCAGCAAGAACTCAAAGCCCTTCGAGACGCCCGGCAGCGTTCAGTGGGCGAGTGATGGGAATGGGGTCGGTCCGGTCATTGGTTTGTTTTGGTGCATTTTGGTGATTTTGGTGATGGCTTGGAGAGCGGTGCAGCTGGAACGTTGTCAGGCATCTCCCACTTCTGGAAATTGTTGATTGATGTTGGTTTATTGATGTTGGTTGATTTGGATGATGTTGGGTGCTTTTGAGTGGGATGGTGGGTGGGTGAGTGCGGGGGGGGGGGGGAGGGTTGGTAATTCTGCGGAATCATGCGGGCTCTGAGATACCTACCTCCTTTATGGCAAATATGGAGCTGAGAGTTAATGAAGGGAACGCACCAAATATGCAGCAGTGAGCTTGACATATTTTTTCAGCAAATGGGAAGACACGTGCTGCATCCTCTCTTGCTGCAGCTGTTGCGTCAAAGACGGAAGCTGCCAGCTTGCGATGGATTCGGATCAACACTTAGCACTCAGCAACCACTCGCCTCACTTGAGTCCCATCTCTTCACAGCTTGGCATAGCCGGCTTGAACCCTAGTCTTAGAAACGTCGGTTGAGAGTCTGAATTGTGCGTGTGTGTCGTGTTTATAGTCTTGTTCATAGGGTATATAGCTGTCACAAAACTAGCTACTGCGTTCATTGGTGTGGATTTCTGAAAGTTCTTGGTGCAAGGCAGACAGGCCCAATTACGTGCTGCTGCAGAATTGCGATGAAGTGACATGAAATAGGTTTCTTCTTTTGGAGGACTACCATGCTATAGATACATCGGCTTGAGGGCCCCCAGCAACCCAGGACGCCCGACCCTTTTGAACAATGTTGGCCATCTTGTTTTCAGGGCACGGCTGGTGCTCAAACGTAAAGTCACTCTGCAGGGCATGTTTGTTATCAAGTCATGTTGGATCGAAGCTTCGCGATGGCATGGACAAAATTCACTTCGCACCCAATTGGAAAGGTGAAATGTTATCAGTGCTGGGATAGGCCACCACTGTATGTCAGCCTCCAGCCACACCTCGAATGAAACCATCAAGACCTAGACCGCCAAGCATCTAACTTCTACGCACAGACCCACCACCCTTGAGTCACCCTAAACTATTTTCTACGTGTCAAATGAAATAACCCAACGTCTAAATCAAACCTCAACTCCAAATGCTTTAATACGAATCCAGCCGCGGCACCTAGAAAGAACAGACACGTACTGCTCTTCCAGACTGTAGCGGGAATATGTGGCTTGAAGCCTGTTGAGGGTACATTCCAGTACGGATACCTTACTCCCTGAGCTTCAGGGTTTTGTGTTCTTTTTGTGGCTCATGTGTTTGAGCTGGTTGCTTGTTTATTTATTTTTTTGTGTGTTCTCATGAAGGATTCCTCTGGACGTATATTGAATCTTGTTTTACATATGGCTGCGGGTCAAAAATATGTACCCAAAATGGAATCCTGGTACATGGACACATTGGCCAAAACCTGCCGTCCAATTCCTGGTGCTTTAAAATTGATCTCAAAGCGCGCTTTTGCGCGAGGGCGCGCCCACAGACCAGCTTGAAGATCACCCAGAAGGAGCGAGATTTCGTTTGCCAAGTGGTCAGATGCCGTCAGTGTTTTTTTTCACATTGCCGGGTAAATGGCGTTTTGGCCGGCTGCCCTGTTGGGTTTGTTTTTTCGGGTTGCCTGCATTGTCCCTGAAAAAGGAGCAACCAGTTGACTTGTTCAAAGGAGACCAATGTGTACAGTGCTGTTTGATTTTGATTGAGGCTCAATGTTTTGTTCATTGCACATGTGCGATATCTTTGGAGGAACACTCATATTTTATTCCAGGGAAATGCCGAGTATAACAACAACGAGAACAGTGGCAATAGCCCAGGGTCCGGCAAATCCCGTGTTCGCTTTCAAGCAGGAGGTGGAAATGCAACAAGAAGTTACACCATCTGAGCTGAGGATGTGGGAAAGACATGTTGGCATTCAGTTCAGCACCTTTTCAGGCAAAGTAGATGTCCCTTCCAATATCCCTGAAGCATGTACGTTGCTCTGGGAACGCGAGAGATTTCGTACCTCTTGAGCTGTGCCTGTGTTCTCCTTGGCTCCTCATTAATAGGAAATACCCCAACAAGCGGTCTGGACAGTTGGTGTTTGGGTTGCCATGTCTTGCAACCTGCCAGGAGCTGAGCGAACATCAAAGCACCTCCTCGCTCTGGATATCCATTGGCGGGGTGGCACCCTTGCGGGAATTTCAGCAGGCAAACAGGAGCTGCCAAGTGGCATGCTTATGGATTTTGATCGGACTTTGATGGCTTTGAAAGATGACTGCCTCTTAAAGGGAGCCATCCCACGTTTCTAGTATAGGTTGTACAGCCTTGTCACTAGATCCAAGCATCCAAGCGAGCACTCCATTCGAGCCTCACGAAGACTGCGGAGCTATCCCAGGGCTTCGGGATGGGATCCGAGGTCTGCGACGTGACGGAGTTTTTGATGCTTCACCCTGGGGGGAATGATGTGTTGCTGCAGTACGGTGGACAAGAGGCGCGCCTCTTCGGTGCCGTTGCATATGACCACACTCTGTTGAGCTGTAGTCTAGACTTGTTTGCCTTGAATGATGCAGCAGGACTGTGAACTTGACATGGTGAAATTCAGTACTGTCGCACTGTACCCACTGCCAGTTTGAAAGACCCAGTGCCAGGTATACTGCGTGCAAGAGTATCAACCTAAGACATGATCACTTCCGATTGTGGTAGCTGGACGAAATGCTAGGTGTATATCAAGCGACAGTCCTGGCATGCATATTTAGCCCAAAGCCTACATGATTAGGCATTCCTTTGGGAGGGACAAAGATGTAGTCGGTTGTATATGTTCGAATGATTCTCGAAATTTGCTCGCTTCAGGGGAGTGGAAAGAACCTACACAGTATTCCGAAACCCTTGATATCGGTACGCCCCGTTTTGCTTAGCGTACTGTCTGGAGTGGCTGGAGCGTATCTATCTATTGTGTTGTCTCTTCCGCCATCCAACTTCACTTTTGCGCAGCTTACTCAAGATCAGCCAGTGTACCTGGAGCACACCCGTGAACATGCCCATTGGTCCCCGAACATGTGTTCCAGCTTTGACGATTTCGGTAGTGCTTAACACATCAGGCGCACCAAGGATGTGGTGCTACGTGAGGTGTTTCTGACAGGAAAGCGATGCCACATTAACAAGTCCAGTTCAATTTGTTTGTGTCAGTCAGGCCAGCTGTAGTCCAAGGCATTTCAATGCGTCCTCAAACTTCAAGACGTGTTGGCTTTCCTCAGCCACCAGCAGAGTGATGTCGTATCGACTCGCACGCGCCCCCTTTGTGAAAGTTAGAGGCTCGTGGTCACTATTCTGCATTTCTTTGACGGAGCCACAAAATGCAATGAATTGTTTTGGCATAGCCATTGCCTCTATAAATATGAGCACGTGACAAACCCTAAGATTTCTGTGAAAGGAACTCTGGGTCCTGGCTGTGTCCATACTTGAATTGACCCGCTGCATGACCGACTTGACAACAGGCCTACGATGCATTTGAGGAAGTCGGCCACTCCGACTTTGCCCGTGACTTGGCCAATGCGCGTGGGATTAGAACTGTTCCACTCCCAATCACACCAGCACAGGGACCTGATGCCACCGTTGGTTGGGGAGCCAATGTTCCCCAGAACCTTGGTGGATTACTTGCTTGTTTCCGGGGTTGGTAACTGAGTGCTGTGTTTGGGCAGTCTATTTGGCTGCTGCATGGCATGTCAGCCAGTTGGATTCCGGATTTCACTCTTGGGTGTGTTGCCTGCTTGTTCCCTGTGCTATGTGTGCTTGCGCGTTGCGCCGGTTGTTGAAGTATCTATGGTTCTGTGCTGCCTGTTGAGCACAGGACTTTGTGGTTCTCTGACTCACTTGATTTGGCTAATCTCTGTTTGCGTTGGTTGGGTTTTTGCTGCACTCCTAGTGTGCACGGCTGACTATGTTCAGTGAAACCCGATAGTGAGCAACAATCAGTTAGCACATGAAATTAGCGGATGACTTGGCAACTGTTTGGTACAAATTTGCCTTGACAAAAGTCCAGCCCCTGTGCCAGTTCTAGTGTCACTCTCTAGCTTTCACATGCTCGTTGACCATGCAGTTAGGTTCCTGGACAGCTGGGTATATTTTTTCCGCTATGGTCTGCTTTCTGTTTTCTGCCTGTTTTGGTTGCAGTTTATACACACGTCCCGTTCCATTGGCCTCAGGCAAGATGGTCCAGGAGAAGGCCATTGGCCTGCTGGTGGACGGGCAAGGCCCGCGCTCCGGCGCCGGCACCACGCTCTTGGGCCGGCTCTTCACCAAGGAGCGGGCCACGGATCAAACCACGGGGGTCCCAAGGGTTCAAAGGCGCAAGCGCGATTTTCGGGGGCAACTGATCCCTTAGGTCTACCTTCAAAGGAGTGGCAACATCTTGGACACTCGCCATTTTGGTTGCCTATGTTTGAGGGCTTACCAGGTTTGTGGTTGTTTTTCCTCGGTTGTGTCTACCAAACAGAGCAATTAATCCACAAAGCTTTGCTTTATCCTTTTGTTTGTTCGCCCGGGGATTCCGGCCATCTGTTATTTGTATCAAGCACCATGCAGTTTTCGAGCTGATCCTGTTGCCAAAAGCAGAAGCAACCAAGCTCGTGGAGAGAAGAGTTGGATGAAGGGTGGCGGGTGTGTCAAGTGGCCTGGTTTGGTGGGCACGTCGTGCGTTAACATATCAAGAGTGGCTCACATCCTCGGGCAAATCCCGAAAACGGGGAATGCAGGGAATGGACGGACAAATCGGTTTTCAAGGCCCTATCCGAGTGGACTTTATGAAGGATATGAAAGCCAAAAACACCAGCAAAGTGTTGTCACCAACATGAAATATGTTTGTTTTTGTTGCTTACGACCAAATGTGCAAGCTTTTTCAGGGCATGCCCAAAATCCATGAAGGAGGCCAACGGGATCCCTGCGCACAAATACATTGCAGATGCCGCGTCGGATACTTGGGAAATGTTGTTTTGCCAAAATTAGAGCAGCTAAGGGCACCAATGAGCATGAGGGGGCATAGCTTGGATAGGATTGGAGGTCTTTCAGTTACAATTGCCTCAAGGATCTCTTTCAGATACGGAGAACAGATGCTTGCGAAAATGACCCGCGAGGGGAGGGGGGCGGGGGGCATGTGCAAGGGCTCTACCGCAGGAGGATGGATACAACATCCACAAAGTGATACCTGCCAGCATGGGACTTTGCGGTTTGGGTGAATAGGCAATATGGAGATATGCTGGGGTGTCCCAAGCTTGCACATGGTGAAAGTACCAAAGATTGGACACTACAATCGGGTGCTTCAAGGAGCAATCCTATGATGAATGTCCCTTGTCCCAGCAATGCTTTGGCAAGTTGTTCTCTTGGCAGCCTTAGTGCTTGGGCACTCCGAGCCCTTGAGGTTTAATTTGGGAGTGTTCTGTCTTTTTTTTTGCGAGCAACCTTCTCTTTCGGAAGGAACACTTTTTTGTCACAGTATTTTTTGGCAGGTTTATCAATAGGTGGTTAACATTTGTGTTGACCCACCTGGCTGCACAGGTAAGGTGCAAGTTATTGTCAGTCCAAATTGTATGCAGGCTGCTGGCATGCCCACGAAGGACCACATTCAGAGCGGAGCACGGCTTGCTGGCCCCTGCACACCCTTTGAGGCTGTTGGTTAGCAGTATGTTTTTGGAATTCTAGAATCATGCAATTGCTGAACAAACAAAGGCTTGTATTCAGACAACTGGCTTTCTTGGGGATCAAGACATAGGGATTGAACAAAAGGCACAATTGGGACAGGCCCAGATGCTCGCCCGCAAACATGCTGCTTGGTACAGACATTCATTCCAACAACCCGTCGGGTTCCCAAGGCACGCAATTGCGGAAATGTTTTTTTCTTCCAGCCCCAAGCTCTGTTTCGGCCTCCCTCCCTTGTGGTTTTTTGGGCCTAAAAGCAGGGCTGTGGAGCGCAAACACATCTTGAGGTCAGCGCAAAAGCCCCTGGCCGAGGTTGGGCATCAGTGTCCTGACCTCCGTGCTCTACCGTGTCTACTGCTGCCTTGACATGCAGTGGGACCGCGATCCATCACCCCCAAAGTCATGTCGTGTCGTTCTAGCATGGATCCTACTCAAGTGAGGGTGCGGGCATCAGTTGAATCAGTTGATCCTGAGTTCGCAGAGCAATGGTTGCAGGTCTCAAGCTGTGAAAAACTTAAGTTGCCCAAGCTACTCGCCCAAGCTACTCGCATTAGTTGCAGATCGACACTTGCAATGATTTTCTCGGCATTGATCTCCGCCGGCTCCTCGAATAGTTCAGCAGAAGTTGAGCACATTGCTCTGAGAAGAAATTACCGTGTTGCATGCAAAGGCTTTTCTTGTTTGGCTCGTTTGAACACTGTGAATTTGGCCTCTTACTCGGAGAAGCGCATGTTGTTTGGCTCCTTGCAACGATGGTTGAATCAGACCCTAGCCATTTGCTGTTGCACATTTTGGTGTTGCTGCAGTATGTGGGGATCTTTGGTTTGGTTGGGAGCTTAAACACAACAAGATGAATACAGGTTCTTGTATCCAATGTATGAATATGTACATACTTGGGTGTGGCTGTGTGGCTCAAAATGGGGGGGAGTCCAAAATGGAACCCTGGTAAATAGAAAGGTAGGCTAAAACCTGCGTAACCCCAGCTGTTCAATTTTGAGCCACACCCACTTGGTAGACCTAGTAAGGCATGTTCAGTCGACCACGGCAGGACGGAGGCTTCTCCTCGAGCATCTTTTCCCTGGGACTCTGCTGGCTCTGCATGTTGCTGCAGTCCACCTCGTACCTCTTTGAGGTCGGACGGGTGGGGCGTCCCCTGTTTGGCTTACACCCTTTACTTATAAGGCCACAAAAAATGGGTTCTGTCCTCGTTTCCCCTAGATATGGACGAGAAACGTGGACATGACGGACTAAGGAGGGTGGCCGTTCTTTGCCTACAGCTGAACCAAATTGCAATGCTGAACCCGATGGAACCTTGCTTTTGTGAGAGCTGAGAATTGCCATGGCCATGTATGGCGCTTGCGATGGGCTTTCGTGAGTCCGTTTTCGCCTTGTTACAGTAGCTATTTCTTGCACTCAGAGACTCAGTTGTTGTGAAGTCGAGTATTGCTATCCTTGTTGACTTGTTGTACTATTTGTGTTGTGCACGTTAGCCGCTTTGAGCCTGTTCAGGGTCAGCTCAGCACTGCGCTGAACGCGCGGCAGACGAGCTTTGCTCGCAATGAGTTTGGGTGACCCAACAAAATGGACTGTAAGCCCTTGGTGGTCTTGATCCTTGTGGGCAGGTGCCAAAGGCACGACTGCTGGGCAGCCCGATGATCTGGCAAGAGTGGAGGGGCCACAACTTCATCTTCGTATCCAGGCCTGTGCGAATGCTTCTGAATGCTTACGGTGCGTTGGTATGTTTGAGGATTTGGGGGGACTCCACATACCCCGAAAGGGCTGGTTTCCTGATTCCACCAAAGGGATTCTCCTTGTCACAGACATCGGTACAGCCCTGGGGCATTCTGCGAGCCATTTTCTCAATGGCAGATGAAAACCTTGCCCCAGCTCATCCAGGATTGTGAGCAATGAGTCTATCAAGACATGAGGGCAGAATCGCGGGCAGTGGTCCAATTGCTGAGTGATACTCCCCTAAGCTTGCCTGTGGCCCTGATTGAGCAAGGCCCATCCTTCCGTGTTAGATACTGCCTCGCACCGCCCTGCGTTTTGGGCGGCTGACACGGCCTTCAGGTTGATGCCGATTTTGTTTTGCGCCTTAGCCTTTCAAGACATCCAGTTCGGTGGTTCCTGTGACCCAGTTCGGTTCCTGTGACCCAGGTCGGTGGCCCAATTTCAACGAATTTGGATCGTTGAACATGAGAAGCGGACCACCCATGGCCATTGGGCAACTGGGGAGGCACGTCCTGGCTTTTACAATCACCTGGTTCTTCCTGCGCTATGTGCAGTACTCCAACCAGTTCGCCTCCATTTGCCTAGACCTGTCCATGTTCGTGGCGCCGGGCTTAGCATTCGGATATCCGAGCTGTAGTACACTTGGTCTTCTCAGATCTTCTGCAAAAGGTGAAGGACTGCTTCAAAAGGTACACAGCCCTAACGTTCAACCAGGGGTTATTAACCTGGGTGTTCATTGGTTAAACGTTTCGCAGGCCGGAAGCCAGCAAAAACCGCCTGCGGCGTGAAGAGGGCATGGTGGGGCCATGAGTGTTTGAAACAGTACGGCAAGCTTTGCTTTTCTTGCAACAGTCATGTCTTGGCAGCCTTGGTAAGTAATACTCACATTCTATGGGGCCCTAGATGTTGCTTTCTCCCGACTTAAACAAAATGCCTCTCGGGCAAGTTTCAGCAGGCTGAGCGCTTCGCAGGGCTCGAGTCACGACTATTGATGGGTGACCCAGAAGGCAGTCATGCCTTGAGCTTAAAAGGGACCGAGCTGTTTTTGGGCCATTGGGCTTGGCTTGGATCCAAGAATAGCTGGATGGCATTGTGTGCAGCGCCAACGATTGATTCAGAACAGAGCAACTGTGCAGGCAGAATGAGGACCCCTCTTGGGCGTCCAACATCCATCCGCTCAACGCTTCGCTCGTTTTCCCATTTGCTGGGCTTTAATACTGTTTTGGGCAGGTCTTTTTTGTGGAAGCCAAGGATTTGTTTGTGTGTTGGTCCACGATCTGGTGGTAGCGCCCCCCATTCTATTCAGGCATATCGAGGGATCCATAGGTCCCAGTTGCGGCATCCAATAGGTCCCAGATTCGTTACGAGCTTTTAGGAAGACCATTTTAACGCCATGTTTTTTAACAGCGCTGGCTGCCTACAGGCGCCGTTACCATGTTTTGCTTATGGCTCTGGGGATTCCGCTTCTCGCGACAGGTTCTCTACGGCCAGCTCTATGCGGTAGATTTGGTCACGGCCTGGGTCAGGGAGGTTGGGGGCCCGGGGTGGGGCCCGGTTCTGCTGATGCTTTGTTCGCTTGGTTCGGCGCCACTCCATATGAAGCGCTGGCTCTTGGGCCAGAAACTCGGAATCTCGCTTTCACAAGGACCATCTTATGGCCTCAATGCTGGTGGGCAGGGTAGTTTGGAGTTTCGATGTTCGTGGGGAGGGAAGCAGTTGACAAGCTAAAGCTATGGCTGCAAAGGTTGCGGATAGTGCTTTCAACTGTGGGAATATGCAGAAGAATGCGCCGTCTCTTAGACCGGGCCCGATGCAAGATTGATCAACTTGAATGGAAACAATCCGATTCCAAAGCTTAGCCGAGAAGAACTGCCCCTTCCAGCCATTGTCAATTCCCTCGAATCGGGGCCCAGTTTGGGCCCTTAACTTTGTTTGAAACCGCTTGTCAACCTAGGTCCCCCAGTAGTGCCCTTTTTGGGGGAGGGTTCCCCTACTAAAATAGACTACAGAAAAAGGGTACCCTTATTCAAACCTCTTTAGTGGAGGACGTAGCAACGCTTCCGTACATACGGTCGAGTGCTGCTACAGCTATTTTCCTTCCACGAAGATACAAGCCGATGAGTGTGTCAACTTCTTTACGCCGAGGCCCGCATGACGACGCACGTTTGGTGAATCAAGCCAAATCGCTTCATGCACTCCTCACACGTGTCGACCAAGCCGTACCAAACGAGTGCCTCATTGCCCGGTGACCCAACGGGGCTGGACCCCAGCGGGCCAGGACAAGCACACCAGCCTCACTGCGAGCTGGCCCTTCTGGGAGGGCTGCCCGCTGTGGCTGGAGAAATCCATCAAGCTCTACTACACCCTGGCCCAGTTTCAGGCACGGCCAAATCTTCAGTGTAGCTGAGGGGGGTGGTTTCAAAGCTTCAGGCATAGCCAAAACTTCATAGCTGAGGGGTGCGGTTGCAAAGCTACGCTTCTATGGATGATACGTACTGAGGGTTTGGTTTACGCTTCTATGGATGACACACGAGCTCCCCGGCAGTTCGAATATCAAAGAACGCTGTGTCTTGAAATGCAACGCCACACGGAAACTGGCTTCAAGTAGGGCCTTGCCGCTTCAAAAGGTGGGTTTCCGATCAGGCATCTTCTGAAGCCCTCCCAAACAAAAAGGGAAAGGATGGAGTTCTTGTTCGGGGCACCAGCACTATGCACATCAGACACAAACAAGCAAACAACATATCTAACAAGCTGTCTAGCAAACTAACTAACAAGCAACAAACAACAAGTATACTAACAAACGAACCAACAACACTCAAACAAACCATCAAACAAACAATTAAGCAAGCAAGCAAGCAAGCAAGCACGCAAACGAACAAAGACACAATCAACAAAACACACAAACAAGCAAGCAACCAAGCAAGCAAGCAAACAAGCAAACCAACAAGCAAGCAAACACAAACAGGGCTCTTTAAAAGATACGTTTTGCCCATTTGAAACATGGCTTTTTCTATCAAAATAAAGGGAGACCACCATTGGCAACGCAATGTTCAGGTGTATAATGTAAGGATCCCTGACAAACAAAGCCAACACAACAACATAAAACAAGAAACCAGCAAACCAGAAAAGCAACAGGATAAAGAGAGAGAGAGAGAGAGAGGGAGAGAGTCACGGACAGACAGACAGACAGACAGACAGACAGACAGACAGACAGACAGACAGACAGACAGACAGACAGACAGACAGACAGACAGACAGACAGACAGACAGACAGACAGAGGGATGAGACGAACAAACAAAGGTGCAAGTAAGCGAGCAGGCAATAAATTAAGCAAGCCAGGAAGCCACCGGCAAACGGACACATATCAGAGAGAACCAGTGTGACAAAGCTCAAGACACGTCAAAGGGGATCTTTGGATGCAGCGTGTTGCCGATAAACGGATGCATGTCAAGCTGTTTGTTTGCTTTTGTGGCTTCGCCATGCTGAGACTGTCGACTGGATCATGACACTTTTATGCTTATTTGGGGCAGGGTACTTTGCAACGTGTGAAGGCCAGCACCCTGCTGATCATGACTGGCAGCAAGCTCTTTGACAAGTACATGGCAGCTTGGCTTTTTTAATCACAGGCAGACTGAGCTGCAGGTGGTAATTTCGTGCACTTCTTCGGCCTGATGTATTCATCATGTCAGTGGTTCGTTCTAGAAACTCAAGCTCAGTTCCATGGCTTTGTGAGCCAGGATGAGCCACATTTTCCGCGGCGGTCGGCTGTCCCTGCCTTTCCCACTCTACCTATGCATTGGGAAGGACATGCTGAATTGCAGTTTCCTTTGCCCTTTCTGTTTAGCTGCCCAAGTGATGGTGAGGGTTTTGGCGATTTCACTCCTCTGCTGTAAAGGTCTTGCCTCCTTGCAAGCCCGCGAAGGTTGTTTCTGAACTCGGCTTGGCAGTTGCTTATGACTAGTAATCCCAGCAAGATCTGAATGCCAAGCTCCACGCTACTGCGAGCTGCAGTTGGCGGATGCACGCTCTTTCTGAAGCGCAGGACTTGGATTGTTTTTTTCCTTGAGTGGACATGCACTGTCACAGCTTGGGCCATCACAACTTCAAAAGGCCCGAGGTACCGCGTTTTGTTTCGCCTTGTTTCTAAGGTGTCGGGCTCTCGATTCTTAGGATGTTTCCAAGATTAGCATTCCCTGCAGTTCACTCAACGTGTTGGCCATGTTCATGTACAAGTGGTTGCTGTCTACACTTTTGCCGTGTTGCAGTTATGTTATCCAGGTGTTGCAGCTATGTTATCCACACTACCTTGCCAAATCTCCATTGTCTCAAACTCAGAGAGTCTAAGCATCGTACGATGCTTGTCTTTTTTCCTGGCCAGGGACACGAGACTAGGTGCCCCAGTAGTGCCCTTTTCCCCTTTTCTGGGGGAGGGTTCCCAAACTAAAATAGATACAGAAAAAAGTTGGCACTCTTTTCCAACCTATCTACTGGAGAGCGGCGTGTTGGGCCTTCAGGTCATCTTCCCTTTCCAGTTTGCCTCCTTCTTGATGACGCTGGTGAGGAAGGGGATCATCTCAACCAAAGGCTTTCATGCCGGCGACTTGGCGAAGATGCAGTGACAGGTTGGATGGCGGCTTTTAGAAGCGACTCTCGCACAGGCGCAATGCCTGGTTGGCTTTCCTGTTCACCTGCGCGGGGCTGCACAAATGAGTCCTGGTGTTTGAGAATGATGCATACCTGCCAAAACAAGACAGACACTTCCAGGTTAGTAGGGGTAGGGGTCATTCCGGACAAGACATAGTTTCGCCAACAAATGCGATTCCGAAGTTTGGGGCCGAGTTGTATGCTGACCCACCTGAGGCTACTTGTGGAGTTTGTGGATGGTGGTGTGGCTGATTTTGGGTGCTGATGGGGAAGCCCACGCGGCTGGCTGGGCACTCTGGATCATGATGTACATGGTCCGCTCCCAAGGCGAGGCAGACTGCGCGCACGTGCTGTTGGATGCTGGTCGAAGCCAAATGAGCCTGGTTGTATTGCGATTGAAAGGGGGTGGTCATAAGGGTCCCACGCGCAAGGAAAACACGTGGCGGCGTAAGGCCCGCGCAAGCTTTCTTTCGAGGAAAGTTTGTCGCGCAAGCGGTTTGGATTGTTTTGGTGGTTTTGCGTAGTCATTTGGCAGTGGCAGGGCACCCTAAACTTGCTGCTGATGTGTTTTGGGGCAACTGGGGAAAACGTAAAAACGAATTAGTGCGCGACGCTAATTCGTTTTTGGTTTTGGGCACCTGGAATGTCTTGTTAGGGGCTCAAACACCCAAAAGCGGAATTAGTGCATGTCACTAATGCCTCTTTGAGGCTAGTTAGCTGGCAAAACGTGGCTGGGGAGTGGATTACGCAAAAACAAATTAGTGCGCGCCGCTAATTCGTTTTTGGTTTTGGGCACCTGGAATGTCTTGTTAGGGGCTCAAACACCCAAAAACGGAGTTAGTGCATGTCACTAATGCCTCTTTGAGGCTAGTTAGCTGGCAAAACGTGGCTGGGGAGTGGAAACGCAAAAACGAATTAGTGCGCGCCGCTAATTCGTTTTTGGTTTTGGGCACCTGGAATGTCTTGTTAGGGGCTCGAACACCCAAAAACGGAGTTAGTGCATGTCACCAATGCCTCTTTGAGGCTAGTTAGCTGGCAAAACATGGCTGTTAGGGGCTCAAACACCCAAAAACGGAATTAGTGCATGTCACTAATGCCTCTTTGAGGCTAGTTAGCTGGCAAAACGTGGCTGGGGAGTGGATCCACTACGCAAAAACAAGTTAGTGCGCGCCGCTAATTCGTTTTTGGTTTTGGGCACCTGGAATGTCTTGTTAGGGGCTCAAACACCCAAAACGGAGTTAGTGCATGTCACCAATGCCTCTTTGAGGCTAGTTAGCTGGCAAAACGGGCTGGGGAGTGGAAAACGCAAAAACGAATTAGCGCGGGCCACTATTTCGTTTTTGGTTTTGGGCACCTGGCATGTGGAAGGCCGCTTTTTTCCTGGTTTTTTGGGGTTCAGCTCCGCGCGGCGCAGCTGTGTGGCACAATTGGCTGGCGCATGCTTTTGGCCGGGGGGGGGGGGGGTCCGGAAAGGTTTCGGGCTCCAAACCCCCCAGCTGGTGAAATGAGCCGGGGGCAAAAGGTGTGTGGACGGATGTGGGTGGGACGCGCGTGTGCGTGTGTGGCGAAAGCGGGCGTAACGAAACCATCCAGTTTCGTAAGGAATTGTTTTCGCCTGAGCTGCGCGCAAGGTTTGCGCAAGGGAAGCTTATGTAAATGCAAGCGCGTAAGAAAACCTGTATTGCGCGTAAGCTCGCCCAAGCACCTTGGCGTAAGAGTTCCTTACGACCTAGATTTGAACAAGACCTTTTGAACGCCGCTCAAATGGAAGCCACCTGCCCTGCTGATTCTTCTGGGCCCCCATTGAATTCAGGCGCTCCTTATGGCAGCACATTGGTTGGTAGTTGGCATTTCTGCATTCACATTTGGACAATGAATGTTTGGCACCGAGTGCTACATATGTCAGAAGCTGCATATTCGTGTTTGCTAGTCAGTACACACATGGGGCCCCACATGCACATGCGCAAGTTGGAGTATTTTGGAGTCTGCACGTGTTGTTCTTGTAGTGCTGGGGACCTGCAGAACTGTCTAAGTGCCTCCCTCTTGGGCATGTTGAAGTGTGTGCCATTGTGTGATTATGTTTCTCAGATCGATGGGCGGGAAAAATCGGCTGGTAAAATGTGGCGCGCATGAGGTTGGACCGAAGCAATGTGTCTTGAATCTGCCGTCGGCCATTCTTTGGGGAGCAGGTATCCCGTGCCAAGATTCTAGAGTAGTGGTGCATCGAGTCTACTGTTTGAGGAGGAGGACATGGGGCCCACCAAATTTCCCAGGGCCTAGGCCCGATTTTTTTTCACATTTCCGTGGTCTTCTTGGGGAACGATCAATATTCTAGGGGTTGATTCCCCCTGCTTTTCAGCCATCGTTGCTTTCAAGAAAACCAGCCATTTCCCAGGCTTGTTGGTGGTTTTCTCGAAAGAAGGATCCCTGGCAATGGTGAAGTTACCAGTAGAAATATCGCCCCTGTGGCAGTGGTTGGCGTCGGTCAGGGCTTTCCAAGTACGCGCTGTGGCTGGGGCCCTTGGTGCCGGCGGTGCTGCAAGCTCTGCAGCTGATGCCCACCGCGAAGGCGGGGAAATGTTCTCAAGCGCGAGCGGCGTTTTTTTTTTTTTTTTTAAGTCTCGGGTGATTTTGGTGAGGGTGATGATTTGAGCGTTCTCAAGGTTAGCAGTTTTTTTGTTGGGCCTTTTCTTTTTCAAGCATGGAAGGTGACAGGAAGGGCTTTGATGACCACTTCCCTTCTTGGGGAACCAACATGTTTGCTTCCATGATTGAACTAATGTCAATACTTCTGCCAATGCCAGCTCCTTTCTTAATTCCACGGACTGGCTTCCAGATCTCCACAACATGAGCTAGCCTGGCAGCGGCGCAGATTTGACTCCTACAGTTTGCTTAAACAGTTATTTATGGTTTGACTAGTTCAGAGCAGACATCCTTTGCAAGGCCAATCCGCCTCAACATTCACCTCGCCCAGATTAATCATGTCCCTCTCCAGCACTGAAATTGGTTTAGAGAAAGACATGTGGGTCTTTCGATTCCCTTTTGCAGTCCTACTGGCCAGACAGGGAGAGGACCGGAGAGGCCGTATTCTGATCAACAAGGAGGAGCAACCAGGGAGCCCAACATCCGCTGTGGCACCAACCTTTGAGGTATTCTGTCACAAGGGAGTCCAGGCTTGATGCCGCCTGACTACCGAGCCAACAAACCTTGTTCGGACAGATGGGTGGGCAGTACCAGAGCTGGGCCGTGGTGTTAAATATACACAGCCAGGCAACCACAATGATGCCTTGAGCTGCTAGGCTCTTGGTTTCTCTTTCTGTGCCGGTTTGTTTGTTTTCGTATCCCTTCCCTGTCTCTGGTTTCCTTCGTCTCTTGTCCTTCTTCGTTTTTTGCTTTGCTCCATGCCTGCTCCAGATCTGGAAATTCCCGGTGATGATCATCGTCTGGATCGTTTGCATGGGCCTGCAGAAGCTGTGCATCGGCTTCGCCATGGAGGCCAAGATCTGGGTCGCCATGGGTCACGAGATGACTGGGGAAAAGGAGCTGATGAACCCCAAAAAGGGGCGGATCCCCTATATCAGGTGTTGAAATAATTGTAACATTGGCAGATACTCATGTGGGCTGAAGTGCAAATTGAGCTTGGAGACTTCCCAGATGACATTCCTCAGTCGCTTCTTGACGTGGCCAAACATCAAGGACTTGCAGTAAACACGAAAATTGAACCCAACATTCGGTCACTAGGTTGGTTCCTCGTGTACCTTCTAGGGGTTGAGTGCCTAGCTGCCTGGTCTAGTGCTCTAGCTTTGGGTTTGTGATCCTTTCTTGTTGGAATGTGCCTATTCCTTGCAGGCCATGTTGTACTTGCACCTTCGGTTGTGTATACTTGTTCATAAGCACGAAGGCATGCTTTGTGTTCTTTGGATTGCGGATGCGAACTCCAGGATTCAAATTGTATCCTTTCCGTTTACCAAAGAGGGGCGCTCATTTCCGTTCATAGTGCACTTCAAGCCTTCACCCGCCACGCTTGGCAGGTGCGGGCGCGGCGGTTCCTGGAGGCCAGGCAGAAGCCCATGAAGCTTTTGGCCAAGGAGAAGGCCGGCGGACCTTCATTGAGCAGAAATGGCGAGCTCGCTGTTCGCTCCGGGGGAAGGGAGCTTCATGAAGTTCCCGAAAGAGTCTGTGTGATGTCCGGTTTGTGAAGTACATTTAGGTGTATTTGGTTTGTTCAGAGTCCAGAACAACGATAGCAACCCAATCCCAATCTTGCCCTCAGTCATGTTCCCATTTTTCCGGCTCGACGGCCCCCTTGTTTGCCCTGAGATTCAATTCGCTTTTAACGGACGAGACGGTCTCACACAAAATCCCAGTTTTGAGGGCCTCCAGCTGCGCATCTTTGGCTCTGTGCGTTTCTGAGACCCCATGACGGCCATGAATGCCTGGACATGCCCCTAGGCGCGACATGCACATCATTCACACAAGAACAAAAACGCGGCTCATGCCAAGAAAAGATCGTTCACGGCACTAAAAGTCGTTCACGGGAGTTTCACGCTAGTTTCACGGTGCCCCCAGCTTTTCGTGAGCTTTCCCTGGACAGTGAAGTTGCTCCGTTTTAGCCAGCTGTTTCTTGCACGCACCATGGGATCCCAAGTCAGCCTGAAGTTGCAGGCACACGGCAACCCCAAACTGGGATCCCATTGGTTTTGATCCACAGCCATATGGGGAGCCTCTCGCCAGGTGAACGACACCTTTTTGTTGTTGAAGTTCGAGGTCCCTGCCGGTTACACCGCCGGCATCAATCCGGGCCAGCACGTGAAGGTCTACGTGCCCAACATCTCCCAAAACGTGGCGGAGTGGAACAAGTCCTTGAACCTGGAGGCGGAATCGCCCGCTCCGTTGGGGTGCAAAAGAAAACCCAAAGGAAGCCAACATGTTTGGCCCCAACACCTTGGGACATCACGTGACATACCATACCCGTTTGGAGAAGCTGCAAGCCAAAGTCGCGAAAGGGGCGTGGATGCTGGCCCATTTCAGGGCTTCCAATTTTGAGCCATGCAAGCAGAGTCAATTGAGTGAGAGACGAGCTTCTTGAGCCACCGGCCACGGCCGCGTGTGTCGTGTGAGATGTACAAAAGGCACAGAGCAACCACGACTTACCCATTGCCTTGTGTTTTGCTTTGTTTTGGTACCACGTTTTTTCAGCCGGGCTGCTGTGAAGTTGTCAAACAGAAACAGCTGGCGGCTGTGTGTCAGCGACGTTTTGACAATATGCATATTTGTTTTTTTTTGTTTTCCACGCTGGTTGTTGTCCGCAACTGACCATATTGGCTGATGGCCATGTTTGGCTCCCCCTGACTCTAACTCGCCAAGGAAAGAAGCGATCGGCTTTTGACTTTCAGGCTTGTCCGGGTTCTATCCCACAAGAGTTTGCCCCACTTGCGACATGGTCAAGTTACCCGATTCACGGCTCGCTTCCTTTCAGTTTTCCTGGTTAGCGAGGAGCTTCTTGTTTCCAGTGCTTTCCCCCTGTACAGGCTGTTTGTGAGGGTTGCTCACTCAGTTTCCCTTCAGACTCCGGTTTTTTGAGCCCAAAAGCCAGGAGCCAGTCGAGGTGCTGAGCCGGTCGTACACACCGGTGAGCGCCACCGTGTCCCCAACCATGGACCTGATGGTCCGCTACTACCCCAAGGAGCCAAAAGGGCGCCGTGTGGATCTGGTTCCGAGACCAACTTGTCAGAGTTTGCGAGGTGAGTCTTTCTTTGGGTTTCCACTTTTTGAGATGGGTTTGCAGAGAAACCGAAAGGCAACCAACCATGAACTGGGCTTCCAATTTGACATGCCCATTCAGGCGTGAGGTGCCGGCCTCAAGGTTGCCTGGGAAGAGCCAACCCTTGGTGTGGATGCGCATCCGAATGCAAGTGTTGAAATCAGGGAGTCGGTGGAGGCGTTGTGCAGAACATGAACTGTGGAGATACACATCATTGATATGCCAGTGTTGATTGAAGGGTATGGAGCAGAGCCGCGGCGGACATTCGTTGCATACCCCGTGACATACCCTGCGTAGCAAGACCTGCGGCTCATTACATTTGCCTTTGTCACATACCTTCGTTACATACCTCACATTAGCAACACCGCCTTTCTGGTTGCATGCCCTCTCATAGCCGGACTCTGAGTGATTTCTCAAGGGTGCCTGCAGAGCAGACTTTTGCAGAGCATTCTTTAGCTGAACATGCCTGTGCAGAGTCAACTTGAAGAGAGCTTGCCCTTCAGAATAATTGAGAACAAAAGTTGGAACAGGTTGCAGGGAGATCCGCAAGATCCGCTTTCTGTGCTATTTCTGGCTACATACCTCGTTACATAGTCGTTACGTACCTTGTTACACACCCAACCGCAGCCCGGGTCAAGCCACCCAGTTTTTGCCGTCACCCGGCTTGCGCTGAACAGAGCGACTTTTGATCTGGAGCTGTGGAGGTGTGCTTGGCGTACTAAACCTCGACGCCAAGGCTGTGATGCGGACAAACTCGCATACTGCAGAAGTCGCAAGCATTGTTTTCCCGCTGAATGCCTACTACGCAACAGTGACCCCCGTTACACGCCTCCGTAACACACGATTATGCGCGTCGTGCGTCACATACCCACACAAATTATACCCAGCTGTACGTTTCCAAGTTTCAGTCGGCAGGGCGTTTTCAAGGCATGTATGGAACTTATGGAACTTCCAGAATCGTGAGCCGGATTTGTTTTCCGGCAAAGCTGGTATTTGGCTTCAGCAATTCAAGCGTGCCAGGGAAAACAAGGTACATCTTGTTCTCACGCATGCTGAACACCTGGTCGCTTGTGCTTTAACAGGTACGCATCAACATCTTGTTGGTTCCAACCCGCCGTGTTTTTTTTTTCAGCACCAACATGAAGCCAACACCAGAGTGTTCTGGATCAGTCATGGGCGGGCCCCATGTTGTTACATTCCTCATTTGAGACGCTGCCAGGACTCGGACCGCGGATTTCCAGATGGAGGCGTGGATGAATCCTAAAGGTGTTGGTATGGGTTATATGGGTTGGCATCCTGTGGCATTGGTTCTTGTCTACAAACTGGACTCAAGCCAGTGCAAATGATCGCTGGTGCTTGATCCCAAAGGAACCCCGATCAGGGCATTGGCCGTGGCTCATCTAGAGGCACAAAAGGTCGGACTGTGGCCTTTCAGCCTTGTGTGAGCTCTGCATGGTCCGCGAGGCAATGTAGTGCAGCATTCCTTTTCACGGCTTGATGCTCAGGCATTTGGGATGGGGATCAGTGCTGTAGCCCGTGGCAAATTGATCGGCAATGCCGTATTTAGGAGACGATTGAGAGTAGGCAACACAGGAGAACACGTTGACTGCAGTTGCAAGAATATAGGGCAAGGGAACCATGTTGAATGCTTTCATTCTTTCCCAAGGCTACGCAGAAAGGAATGAGGTTGCCTAGGAGCTGTGCTGTGGCGCTTGGCTGGAAACGACAAGCAGGTTATGTTTGAATGGTGTTAATGTTGGACCCTCTTTACACGGACCCCCCCCTCAACAGTGGAACCAGTCAGCTGGACCCTCTTTAGTAAAGATCCTGCGGGGCTGGGAGGGACAGTACTTACTTTAGTATTGCCAATTCTACTTTAGTATTGCCAAGGACCAACCCCGAACAAAAACAGTTCGGCACTAAAGAGGACCCCAACAAGTCACATAAAAGAGGATGGGCCTCTTGTGGGCAACCCCCTTTGTGTGATTGTTTGCCCGTACTTTTTTGTTGGTAAAGAAGTTATCTTAGATTTGATGGTTCGGGGGCCACTGGGAAAATGGACTTCCTAGATTGAAGGCGTTGATTTTGTGAGCTGGGAAGAGCTTGGGTATATAGGTGAACCACCCTGAAAGTAAAAGGCTAAGGCTTTGGTTTAAGAATTTCAGCAACCCAAGAAACCGCTGCACACTAAAGAGGACCCCAAAACGGTCACATTAAAGAGGATCAGGGCCTCTTGTGGGCCCCTTTGTGTGACTGTTTGCCCGTACTTTTTTGTAAAGAAGGTATCTTCAATTTGATAATTTGGGGACCACTAGCCTAAAACAGTCACAGGTTCCTGAATTAGAAAGGCATTTTGCCTTGTTGCGCGACATCTTCAAGTCACGCAATTTACACAATCACAATCACAAGCAGCGCAGCAATCCAAATCACAATCGCAGGCCGTGGTAGCACATATTTGGTGGACCAACTGGCGGTGGGCAGCAAGATCATGATGACCGGGCCTCATGGTCATCAGCCACTTGGAGACCAAGAAGCCGAGATCTCTGGGTTCAAGACTTAGACAAGCAGGGTTCTGTTTTTGTTTAACTACCCAAAGGCAGACTTAAACCCGGTGGTTGATCCCAAGAGGGAAACCCCTGGGTTTAAGTCACCCCCAAGGTAATCAAGAAACATAATTCTTTACAAGTGGGCTTATTTGGGATACCAGATACCACATGAAACATGTTAGATATATCAAGTCGGACTCGCAGTCGCCTTGCCTTGGTTCGATCAACATGATGCCTGAACGCCAGCCTGAGGGTGCTCCTATTTGGTTTTGCATGTGTGGGGACAGAGGATGCCACCATTTCATCCAACGGTCGGTTGGAAGGTTGAAAGTTAGTTGAAGGGAACGGCGGAAGTCACTCACACCAGGCCATGCTTGTGGCCTTTGGTTTTCTTGAGTTGCAAAGCGAAAGCTCTTAGTTGTTGTTTGGTTCTCATTGGCCGCCGGATGCTTCTTTGGCTGAGTTCTGACTACCTTATGTTGGGCATGGCTGAATCAACAAAGTGACGCAGCCAGTTGGGTTTCTTGACGACCATGTCAAACGCTACATTGGCCATCTAGAGAGAAATGCGCACAGCGCATGACCGCCAGCCGGGCCTACTCACGATTTTCAAGCAGCTATGTTCAGATGCTTTCATGACCTTTTGGAATGTCCCAAGCGAGCCACACTCAAACTCCTGCTAGAAGTTCAGTATAGGGGGGCGTCCCAGCAAGCATCATCCGAGGCTCTACTATGGCCAGAGGCGGTTTTTGGTTGAGAAGTCCATGGTCTCCGCGCGCGCCTGTGGGGCGCTGGCTGGGGGCTCCGGCATCACGCCGGTGCTGAGCACTTTGCGGGACATTTGGCAGGCGCACCTTTTGCGAGATGGTCAAGCGGGTTTCTTTGCGTGTGGAGGGGCAGGAAACAGATTTGGAAAAGACTTACCCTCCCTCCAACTATCATGGCAACTGACAGGGGCTCCCTTCAAAAGGAAATTAATCTTACAGGTACCTCCCCACAGGTGCCATGTTAGTTGGAGGAAGGGTAGTAGGAGGACGCTGAGTCTCTTCTGTGTCATGTCATGCTCGGCATATGTTGCCAGCCTTGTGGCTTGTGGGACTCAAAAGGCTCGCGGAGCTGGCGGAATTGTGAAACACCCCTAGACAAAAACAAACCCAGGCAAGCAAGCAAGCAGAACAATCAAACGCCAACGAATCAAGCAAACAATTTAACAAGCAAACACAATCAAGCAACACAAGCAATGCAATCAACATGCAGCACACATTGATAATGCTTAATACGTGTGGGGTTATACATCCACGGTTGGTATTTCAGGCATGGATAAACACACGTTTAAACAACATTGCTTGGCAGGATTTGGTGATGATGCTGGCAAGCAAATGACACATTGCTCCTACTGACTCCTATTGAACTACCACACACACACAAGTACTGCAAAGACAGATCAATCCAGAATATTGTGATTTCTTCAATGGAGTTCACTTGATGTCGGTTTCGCCATGCAACCATAAGACACCATGCAACATGCAACCATAAGACCCTACTCAACGAAGCACCTTGTATTGAGGTGTCAAGGGGGGCCAAGCCTCGGTTGCAGAAAACAAGCACCTCCGTGATGGCCCTTGCAAACGACAGTTTGTTGACAAAAGTGTTGCGGGGGGCTGCAGTCAGACCGCAAGGCGGCTTTTTTGCCTTGCCAGCTGCTCATGGGAAACAACATCATTTGGGTGTGGATCAAAATGCAACCACCAGGGGACCACAGGTTTTGGTCCATGTTGCCACTTACCAGGGTTCCATTTTGGGTACCTATTTTTGACCCACACATTTGCAGTTTGGGTGGGAGTGCCAGTCTGAAGACACCAGGAGGGCCGCCGGGACATCCGGGACCGCGACCAGCGGATCCTGGGCGAAAAGGCGCTGAGGCGAGGAATGTCCCGAGGTAGGTCAAGTTGGTTTCAGGGGATCGATCTGGAAGCTGGTTTTATTTATATCCTCCAAAACCATGTCACTGATCATGGTAGACAGAATATGAAACAAATTCTGAACATGTACATTCTTGGGACTACCCCAGATGTGGGCCAATGCTCTGCAATGCCCATTGTGGCGTATGGATAGTGGATACCCGTTTAGGGGACCTTCACAAAAGAGGTGGCCTCATTCAAAGGATGCGAACCTACAAAAGTGAAAGCAACACTTGTCATGGATGCGTTGTTTGGGGTGGAAAGTCATCTAGCAACTCTAAGTGGACACCAGCACACCTTGCATGTCCTTTGCCTTCCTGTGCGTTCCCGAGATATTTACAGTAAAACTTCCCTAGTTGTCTGCATTTTCTGGCGTTGGTTCACTGATTGTCATGTCCTCCGCCGCCACCACAAACGACTGTGAACTCTTTCAAACCTTTTGGCCAGTACTAAGATGGTTCCGAAAGTCAATTGTCGGGCACATACATGTGTGTGTGTCTGTCATTTCCTTTCTTTTGAGGCTACCCTTTTTGGGCTTGGCTTGAGCGGTTTAGATTTGGAATCAAACAGGAAGCCCTTTCAGGTGGTTTCCTTGGCCCTTTCGAACCAAGGGGTACCCTCGAAATGACGACATGAGCCACAACCAAAACCCGGGTACATGAAGGTTAGGAACGGAGACTCCCAAGAATAAATAGCTGCGGCCGCCTTCTTGATTCTTTACATGGTTCTGGGATTACGACCATTTTAGTACCTGGTATTGATTGTGACTCGCATGAGACAAGCTGAGAGGGGGCGGGGCGCTTCTTTCGCCAGGATGGAGGAGTTCGCAGTGCTTCACGTGACGAGGTCCCCAAAGGAGGCCTTGTCGCCAGAGTGGTACGCTGTCCCGCAGGACGCACAAGGGAGCGGCGCAGGGCTTTTTTGCATGTATGGGCCCGTTTTCAGGTTGGGGTTAAAGGGAAAACGAAAACAAGAAGTAGAACAATGTTTTTGGGGGGGGTACCTCTATTTTGACACACACCCATTTGTTTTGTTTGATTTCACCGAAGCAGACCTGTGTGGCCCCCAGACAATCCTGGGACCTGCCTCAATGGCACGCCCTGGGGGGGAGAGTTTAAAGCAGGTGTTTATGTTGGCCGGGGTGCCAGCGGGCATGGCGAAAGTGCAGCGAGAGCTGAAATTCCTGTTTAGAATAGAGTAGCCGCTGTGCTGTGGTTTGGGGTCTTGCTTGCAGTCACTTGCCTTTCGAGTTGGCAAGGGTGAATTAATTGTAAACGCTTCGCGTTGCCCGCCTCGGCCCAGCCTAGTTTGAGGGAAGGGTCAGGAACACCGAAATCCAGTGTTGGGAAGGCCCGAATCCTACCGAAAGCTTGTGACCGCACCAGTTCGCCCGTGCTAGTTCGATGTTCGGAAGCCGTCCTGCTCGGAAGGTTTGAAATCCAAAACCAAGACTGTCAGCCTGGGCTGAGCTGCGTGGGCAGCCGGACTGGGGGGCTGGGGCACGTCAGACAGGCTTAGTAGCTGGCGTAGCTTGAGACCAGTCTCAGACACGTGAGACTGGTCGTTGGCCTGAGGCCAGTCTCAGACACGTTAGACAAACCTGACCTTGGCATGCTGGGCTGAGCCTGCTGGTGCGCTGGGAGCTGGGGGCCGGCCTAGTGGCTGGCAGCAGGCGGGCTGAGGGACTGGGCCTGAGGCTAGTCTCAGGCTGGCATACAGAGCCTGAGATGCACCGGGGCCTGGGCTGGGCAGGGTGGGTTGCTGGCTGCCGGGCAGCCGTACTACGGGCTGGGCTGAGCTGTGCTTGGGCGGGTTGCTGGATGGGTAAGGCCTGTTTCATACACACTTGGGCCTGAGGCTGGGTGGCGAGTTGCTGGCTGAGGCCAGACGTAAGACACGCCAGCAGGCGGGCTGAGGGACTGGGCCTGAGGCTCGTCTCAGGCTGGCATACTTTGAGACCAGTCTCAGACCGCGCCAGGGGCTGGGCCTGCTGGATGAGTTGGGGCCAGACGCGAGCAGGAGGTCGGCCTGAACTGAGCTGCTTAGCCGGACTGAGGGGCTGGGGCACGTCAGACAGGCTTAGTAGCTGGCGTAGCTTGAGAATAGTCTCAGACACGTGAGACTGGTCGTTGGCCTGAGGCCAGTCTCAGACACGTTAGACAAACCTGACCCTGGGCTGAGCCTGCTGGTGGGCTGGGGGCCGGCCTAGTGGCGGGCTGGGCTTGCGGGTTTTCAGACAAGCTTGGGCCTGAGGCTGGGTGGGCTCGGGTTGCTGGTTGGGCTGGGCCTGAGCCTAGTCTCAGACACGTCAGACAGGCCTGGCCAGCAGGAGGTCATGCTTTTCAGGACAAAAAAGCATTTTTTAGCAATTGTCAGCATTTTCGACAAAAATGGACCCATGGAACTGGACGCCGACGAACCCCGAAAATTTCAAGGCCCGCCGGACAGGATTTTGGGCCAGCCGACATGGGTGGGGGGGGGTGGGGGGGGGGTGGTTGGGTGGGGGAGGGGAAAAGCGAAGATTCTTTTTGGAGAAGAGATCTGAGCGCCCTTGGCCCCTTTGGGGCTGAGGCGAATTGGCATCCCTCTATTTGACAATGTGGGAGCTTGATTGACTACACACACCCTTCAACAGCGCCACCAGTCTTTAGGAGCCTCTTTAGTGGAAAAGGGGGATCTGGGTGGGACTTGGACTTGCCAATGTTTAGGTTTGCACAGACTTACTCTCAGACTCCTCGCAGTATTGCCAGTTCTGAATTTGGTATTGCCATGACTTACTCACAGATTCCAGTACTTAACTTAGTATTGCCAGTTCTAAATTTAGTATTGCCAACACTTAGTCACAGAGTCCTCGTACTTAAGCGCACTGCAAACTCTAAGATCAGTCGGCAATACTTGACTTGCAACTCCTCAGTACTCAAACCACTGTTCAAGTTCTAAGTTTAGTCTTGCCACAGAGTTGGTGCAAGCTAGTGGCCCACGAGCTTTCTGTGTTTGCTTTTTTTGCCTCTGCATCTTGCCAGATGGACCATTGTTGAGGAGACCCTCGCTTGTGAAATGCCTATCCTCTTTGATAGTCCGCAAACCTTCGCGAAACCGACCGAAAACAGGCGACTCGTTGGGAACGTGTTGGCGAGAACACTGTCCCAAAGTCAATCTGTGATTCCTGAATCGAACCACGGAAGTAGCCACATTTGCTGCGCAGCCGGCGGCTGGCATAAGGTATTGTTGATCAGCAAGTACAGCCGGCCCAGATTGTTTTTTGGGGCAAGGATTGAATCAACCTTCATGTCAGTTGAGACCGTTTCCCATCCAGAGCCTCGCATTTCTTGCTTGCACTCCACGCTTCCACACGACCAGATCATCCCACAGAAGCTCGCCTTTGTTCGAGGTATACAAGCTCCTGTGCCCCATGGTGCTAGGCAATTCGATTTTAGGTTCATCCCTTGCCTTATCGTGGCTGAGATCGCTTCAAGCCACTGAAGCGTGGCCCACCTTCTAAAGCAGAGAGCAGGACACCCAGGACGTTACGCCCATTCGGGTGTCCCACGTGGTCACCGGCAGCGGCAAGGTCGAAGGTCGGGCATCAGAAGTTGCTGGCTCCGGTTGCGCCAGTTTGCCATGCTTACCCAGGTCAAACTGTCGATCAATATGGGTATGGGTCAAAGTTTAAACCACCAGGGGACCGCAGGTTTGAGTCCATGTTTCCATTTACCATGGTTCCATTTTGGGTGCCTATTTTTGACCCATAGCCATATTGTGTGCCAGAGAACGGATTCAAGGGGTACGTGCTTGTAGAATCTGTTAGGTGTGTTGAGCCACTGATAGGAAAGCTTGGTCTATCCAACACTGGATGAACAAGCACACTTTCTGACTTCTACTTCTTCACCAGAAACTGCTCACTTGGCACACCAGCAAAACCAATGGCAGAACATTGCAGAACCAAGTGCATACCAGCCGGAAATGAACCATGTCCTGTTTGTATTCTTGAGACCCAAGCCAAATGGATCGAATTTTATCGCCCGCGCCTATTCAGTCCCTTGACTTACTTTGCAGGTATGGAACACTGCACGCCGAGAAGGGGGAAAAACACATACCGCACACGGATAAAAAAGAACCAGCAAATGTTGCAAACCAAGCATATTTTCTGGGCCTGAACCGATAGTCAAACCAATGCAATCCGATACAACCGATCGGGTTGCCAACAGGGGTTTCATTTCGATCGATCCAAGTGCTGTAATCGAGGAAGAGGCAGTGTTTGCAGTTGCAATTAGATTCATTAGGTCCCGCTTGGTTAGGACAAGGCACATGTTACACGTCTCGGTGTTTCATATTTCGTTCATTGTTCTTTGGGAAGTTCACTCTCATCCGATGTGTCCTGTTTCGCCCTCACCTTGTTCCTTCACCTTGGTACTTTTCTCCTGTGGTGATTTTCCTTTTCCTCTCCCCGCTTATGTGTTTCTCTTCTTCATGTTCCTTCCGTTCTTCTGCGACCGTTGCTTCGTGAAACAGCTGCATGTAACTCTACTGGACAGAATTCCTTTGGCCAAGGTGTCGTTATGTTTTGTTCCAAACCACCGATTGAGCTGCTGCTTTCGAGCATGAAAAGTGTTACATCCGCATGGAGATGGCATCAAATGTGCATCAACCTCTGGCAGAGCACAAAGCGGAGTACCCCCAAATGGCGCGTCTCGAGTTTGCACGGAGTAAAGCAGCACCAACTCAGGGACACGCCATGCTCACTTTCAGGTTTTCTGTTGGGTTCGTGAATTGCCACCTGTGCCTTAGCTTGGAACACTTCCAAGCTCGGATTTGCAAGAGGCCGCAGCGATTTCGGTGCGCGCTGCCAGGAGTGTCTCAATGCTGGACCGGAAAGCTTACTGAGGAGATGGTACAGAAGTCCTTGCTGCTCGGACAGAACAGGGAAGGCACTGGCGCATTGGCCCCTTGACTTCAGCCACAGTCAGTAAATCTACATGGGTTTGGCTCAAAAAACCGGTACCCAAAATCTAACCCTGGCAAGTGGAAACATGGACCAAAACCTGCGTAACCCTCCCTGTTCAATTGTGAGCCACACCCTTGGCGGATTGGCTCGGGTTCTGTTCGGAGTTGGCTCATGTTCCTGAGGCCAGCGCCGGCAGACGACGTGGTGATCTTTGTTTGCGGCCCCCAGGGCTTTAACGAGTCCTTGTGCCGGCCGATCCTGCAAAAGCTGGGATACAAGAATGTGGCAGCCTGGCGAGTGAGCGAGTTTTGCCATGTCTCAGACTGGTTTTGAGAGCAGAAGGCGAAGGTTCTTTCTTCTAGGACCATTTCGTTTGCTTGCAATCGCTGTTCCAGGGAATCAAAGCTTCTTGGACGGAGCAAGCAGTGCAGTCATTGGAGGATTGATTCCCATCAATCGTGGGACTTGTTTGAGAGACGGAAGTGGAGGAGCACCTGTGTTCCAGAAATTGCTAGGGTTGAACGCTGCTAACAACGCAGAGAGGGAGGAGGAAACCTATCATTTTGTTACCGTACCGTGGGCGACTCGTTTTTTTGCGGTTGTCCAGCCTGCTTCGTTTACATATTATGTTCTTACTGGCCAGGGCAAGACTCTCTTTGGGCTGATTTTTCAAGGATGTTTGCTTTCACCAGCCTCAACTGGAAGGCTCAAACTGCCCACTTCCGGATGTCCTCTGTTCCACGTGACTCGGCTCGCTTGGCTGCGCGGGCGAGCCAAGCGAGGCCCGCAGTCTAGCTGGACCACCCAGAATAGAAAGTTGCTCCAACAACCAATGCTGGCTGTGAAGTAGCCAGAACTTTGAACTTCCTCCAAGGGAACCCGAAAGAGAATGGCCAATTCTTCCATTGGTCCAGACCCCGGTATGTGGCACCCAGAAACTCGGAATTGCCTTTGCAGAGGCACGTTTGAAGATGTTCCCACCCAAATATTCCAACGCTCAGGTGATGCTTCAGTGAGAAGCACTTTGCCATAGCCTAGAGCAACCGGGCGGCAGATGGCTGCCACTGGACGGGCTTGATCAACTGAGTGGCAGTGAACAGCCTTCTATTCCAGGTCATGCATCAACAGGCATGGTGTCCAATGAAAGCCTTTCCAAGCTAAGCCGTGTAGGAGCGGAGTTTGTGTTTTCGCACCTGGAAGTTTTATGAAGCACACAGCAACGGCGCATGAAGGTGTGCAGCAGGACATTGGGACACTGTCAACCTCAATGCCCAGAGGTTCTTTTGAAGGTAGTGCCAGGCTAGATTCTTTGTGGTTGGGGGTCCAGATTTTCAAGCTCGAATTGGCATCAGGGACTGCGTGGAGATTTGACTTGACTGCACAGTTTCAACTTGTTTTGAAGCACTCGCAAGGAGTCATTGCATGCCCTCATGATGCAAAAAAAACAAGAAATTGGCTAGCCAGCTAGCTGGCTGCTGGCTTTTGTGTGATTTGCCAACCGACGTGTTGGAGTAGGGTAAGACTGCAACATTGGCGGCTACGATATTTCTTGGCAATCAACTCCACACGGTAGTATGTCCAACGCATTGTACTGTTCCACAGTTTGGTCGTCGCTTGTCACAACAGGATACCTGGCTCTGCAGCGCTTTGGTGTAAGAGGGCCGCTTAGGGATGAGCACATGAGCACAACTTAAGAAATGGAGGATGTGACTAGGCGAGCATGTGTTGGTACCTCTTCCCCTCTTTGATTGGGACTGTGTTTCAGTACATATTCATGTTGTGCCTTGACCGGTTAAGAGTCAATGTTCACAAGTGAGTTTTGGTCTTCCTGTCGCGACAGCATTTGGACCCTACGGTGCCTACAAATAAGTATGTGGCGGACGGGCCGAGGCTGAAGACATTTGAGGTACTGTTTAATCCGCCTGTCGTATTAAGTATCTTCAAGGCTGTTACATTGTTTAGGGCAAGTCGGCTCGGGAGGCAGTCCGGAGGTAGTATAAACTGCTAGTTGGTCTGCATGCAAGAAACAAGGTGTTTTCTTTGTGGGTGCCAAACACGGCTTAGTACTCTTAGCTTTTCGGTTTTCAATCATAGAGAAAAGAGGCAAGCAAATCCCTTCCATCGAAAAGCCGGCCTTCGGACCATGGTGCTCCCTCCCTTCGTGCGGCGTTGAGGTCGGAGGGTGAAACCGCCCTCTCAGCTGCCGGTCAGCGGCGAAGCAGAGCCCCAGGTTCCGAAGCGGCAAGGATGAAAAAGCGGCCGATACGCGCGGCCCGATGGAAGTGGCTGAAAACAGTGAAGCCATGCTCCAAGCTGACATTGACACGGCATATTTCGAAGTCTAAGGCGAGCTTCAAGGGCTGCTAGGAACCTCTTTCCCACCGCATTTTCCTCGGAGCATGTATGACATAGTTGTTGCTTACCATTCAATGTCACTCGTTTCCCAATAAAGGTCCAGTCTTCTTTTTGGGAAATTGTTATGTCGTGGGGACAGCAACGACACCAGACTTGGTCAGGCATTTGTTGAAATATGTTTTCCTTGCAACATGACACCACAAGGGAGTAGGGCTCACATAAAGGCCTTGCAGGGCCTGCGCAAGACACAAAGAGCTGCCTACTCATTCCTGGACCTGGCGGTTCTTTTGCATGGAACGCAGTCTGTCCCAGTGTATTAGACCTGTTCTCGGTATGGCGTGCAGTAGCCTTGCCCGTGTTTGTCAACAGCAGCATTTCGACCATGTTGAAGTATTTGCTTGCCAGATTTAGAGGATCCCCTGTATTCACAGAAAAAAGCTCGGACACTGCCTTCCAGCACCGCGTTCCCACTCGGCATCGCCAACGCACGGAGGAGACGATGGAAAGAGCTTCAGCCAGGGATGAGCGCTGCATCCTCCTGAGCCATGTGATTCTTCTGCCGGAGGCGACGATCGATGAGCAAGGGGGATGTGATAGTGGCTCTCGGCTTGTGTTTTGTTTTCATTTTGACTGTTATCACTTAAGGTGAACTGTTTTAGGGGTTCTCAGGCGTTTGTCTCCATACCACCATGCACAGTGTAATTGGAGTATACGTCATTTTCATGGACCCAGTTGGGCACAACATGAAACAAATCCTGGGAGCGTTTAATCATGGGGGCTTGGAAGCTGGAAACATCAACCTTTGCAACCGATATACAACATGGAACCTGCGGGAAGTGCGCTAAAAGCCAACTTTCCTTTCAAGTGGGGCCACCCTTACGCGTTGCTGGTGGGGCCAAGAGACGAGATAATGCTCGACAATCTTGTGTTTCTGCGTACCAGGCTGGTTGTCTACAGACCTCGAAGGATGTTTGACTTTACACAGAGAAGGGTGGTGCACTTTGAAGTCTATAGCTTCATGCAGTTGACACAATCCGGCTCAGCCTGCAATTGGGCTACAGGCGTCGCCTTGTGACCATTCTGTTGGTATCTCTGCTGATGTGTCAATTGGGTCTGGGCAAATTTGGGGAAGCTACTGGACACTGTGTTACTTGACACCGTTCGAGGTTCGTGGCTTGTTGCTATCTCTGCAAATGATTGGGCAGGCCCTTGTATTTGATGTTGCAGGTAAAATTGCGTCAAGATGGGTGCATTCCTTACCTTGCGCAAAATTGGTAGTGCTGACATCTTCTTCCTTTACCTGAGCCCCCCTTCTCAGGAGGTTGGATGGATTTCACTAAAACATATCCGGAGTCGGGGGGTCCAGGTATCTCGTCATTTGTCAAGAGAAGTGGAGTTTGAAGCGGAGCGGGCCTGGGCACCGCGCCGATAGGCCACCCCCGGCGGCAACGGCCTCACGCTGCTGTGGAACTACGAGGAGGCAGCTGGGAAGTGCGGCCGGGGAAGAGAACCGACTTCGAGTTAACCAAATGGCTGTTGTCAAAACCGTTTTGGGATCCCATTTTTGGTAGGTGAATTCACCACCCATTTTAGAACCTATTTTAGAGTTATTTTAGTGGGGATTGGGATGTTCACAGATTTCACTGGCAATACGGGATTTTGACCCATGGCCAAATGCTAATACTTTTTAAGGTGGTTGCAAGGTAGATCGTTGACAAGCGAGGTTTGAAGGGCGTGCAGTGCAAGTTGTGAGACAAGCCTTCTCTACTTGTGACATAGATCCGTGAGGTCGCAATGTGCTGTACGCGACAATTATGAACAAAGCGAAGTCCCTCCAAGAGCTCGAAAGCAGAATTCACTGAGGTTGAGCAGTGCCGACTGCATGGGTTTCAGGTCTGAATGTGTAGGCAGATGACGTAAGCAGCGTTGACTGGCACTTGGGGGTGCGAGGATTGGACAGCCAAATGTCATGTTACCCTAAGCTTCAGTGTTGCTTCGACTTCCATGCCCAGAGAATTTGTTCCAAAGACAGCAACAGCAAATTGCAGGATCTGAATTGTTTGGACCGTAGTCATGCTAGAACGCGAAGCAAGGTTCTGCGCACCTTGCAATCTGTAGTCGCTGCGTGCTGTCGAGTTCTTGAGTCTGGACAGGGGCACACTGCGTGATTTGGAGCGGTAGTTATTACCGCACATTGGGTAGCTTCGCACAACACCCTGCCACCTCGATTGAGGTTCTCGACATTTTGCGGCGTGCCACCAAGCCGCCTGCCGCTGTGCTGTGTGGCCGTCAGGTTTATTCGAGAATTATCTCAGCACGAGTTGCACCTGGTCTCGTGTCCCCTTTGAATCTTTGCCCCTCCGAGCTAGTCGCAAGGGATTGAGCCGTTTCAAGGAAGTTCCCCAATCCCTCAGAATGCTCGTTCAAGGATCCAATGTCTGATAGTGTGGTTGTCTTGCAGAGTTATGTGCAACATGATATTTAAAGGCTAAAGGCTTTGAGAAATCGGTGCCTAATGGTCACACATCCTCACGCCATGTGATGATCCTGACATGGATTACAATACAATACCTGGAGAGTTCGATGTACTTGTTTGTCGATTAAATACATGTCTGCTGTGCTTGGAGACGGGGTGTGGCGAAACGAAGTCTCAGGTATGGACTACTGATTGCTGCAAACATTGCAATCACTTTCCGGGTTTGATTTGTGCTTATTGTCAGCCCAATATGAGTCGACCTGGCAATCTGGCGGTGTCACATGGATCCATAGCCAGAGGCAGACTTCCTGGAATGTTGGTCGGTTTCAGCTACATGGCATGCGTTGCAAAGCCGGAAGTGAATCGATCAGCCAAACAAATCCATGATGAGCAGAGCAGTGCACCTGCGTAGTTTGACACTGGGCTGAGTTGCACACGTGTTTGGCCGCATGCTGAAGCACCTGGAGAAAGCAGCTTTGAACAGTTGCTCTAACCGATCCTTGCGAACGCTTGCCAGGTGCGGACACGCCCATCTTCCGGTGGTGTCAGCTGATGAGGTTACCGGCACGCACCACGTGACCTTTCCCAGCCCGCTGGAGGCCGATCGGGCGCAGCCTGAGCTGGCAAGCTGGATGTGTCAAGGGGCCATTCAGTTGGTGATTTGGAGGACAGCATGAAACCAAGAATTCGGAGGCATCCTTTGTAGACACATTGATAATGAGCGAGGGCACATGGGTTAGGCATGAGCCCGTTCCACATGGAGGTCCACGGTTGCAGACGTGGCTATACTTTTGCTGACCCAGACTTCTCTTAGCGCAAACACGAATTGCAACAAAATGCAAGTCCATACTCCCTGCGGATTATCATGGAACCTCAGCAAAGCACCGCTTTTAGGAATGTCCTTATGGGAATCGTGTTTGTTCGTGTCTTCGTTAATCTGCAGCAGCTGAAAAACTCCCCAAACCTCACCCGGCGCCAGGTGGACCCAGGTTCCGACGCCTGTGCTGTGCCGCACTAAGTTCTGCAACCCAAGCCTCCAGTGCGCGTTCCTTTGAAAGCTCCTTCGAAGGGCTTGTTTTTGTTTTTCTTCCGCGGATCCTGTTGGATTCAGCTAGCAAGCGGGTTGATTTTTGGTCCCCCTGCCTCTTGGGCCCACAGGCGGTTGACAAGATGGTGACCCTTGCT